TAGTAGTAGTAGTAGTAGTAGTAGTAGTAGTAGTAGTAGTAGTAGTATATAGTAATAGTAGTAGTAGTGGTGGTGGTGGTGGTGGTGGTGGTACTAGACGCGACGCACAAGCGACCCAAAACGCGCTACACAAGCGACCCCCCGCCCACATCTGAAGCAGCAGCTCTAGAAGAGCCGCAGATGTACTTGTGGCAGACCCGCACACTGCAGATGTACAAGTCTCAACTGTGGTACTTGCACATCTAGAGCAGCAACTGTAATACAAGCAAATCTGATTGCCCTCCAATCCAAAGTGCCATATGGGCTAGGTGTTGTCACAGCTTGGCAACTGCGAGTTGCGTCACACTTGCGATCAATGCGTCTCTGCTATTTAGGGGCGCACACAGCTAAAATACTTCTCTCCTTGTTCCCATGAGTTCCTGACTCTCAGGCAGGCCTTCATGGGTCCAGAACGAAAGCGTGTCTGCTCGCCCGGCCGCATAGTAATGTCCAAAAGCCATGTGACTCTGGGGTTCCGTGGTGGCTTCCGCCATGTGTGCAATCGCTTTGCATGCTTTCGCAACAACTTTGGTTCTTGAGATTGATCCGGAATCTTTGTGCTCAAGAGCCATATTCCTTGAGGATTTTGCTGGGCAAATTATGATCCAATTGTCGGTCTGACACGTTCAGTTCTCTTGGAGCCAGTAGAACAGCCAGTCAATGAAAAAGATTGGCCAGGCCAAGCCAATCAATCCCACAAGCAAGGTTTGGAGTTTGTGAAGCTGCAAACAAAAGGTAGGCTGGAAATGCACACTGTTCAACGACCAAATTCGCAGCATGGTCCTCGGCATCTGCCTTGAAGGTATCCTTTCGAGCATGGAAGGCAATCACCTTGGTGCAATTCTGGCCTTGGCCCCCAAAGGATAGAAACGAATCTATCCGACCTTATCGCCCAGGCTCTTGTTCCTTCGCAGGTAGTCCTCGGTGATGAGGAAAGCCTCGCACCAGCCCGCAAGGCCCTCCTCGTTTGCGTTGGAAAGCCTAGATACAGTAGATACAGTGCCTTGTAAACCTTGGATGTAGCTGCAGCACCCATGCCTGTCAGAGCACAGCATCTCTGGAAACTGAGAACCCACGTGGGTGTTACCACCGCTTCGAAGACGAGTTGAAAATATCTGCATGAGTTCTTTGTTGAAGAGATTTCACCGAGTGGCGGGCCTGGCAAAATGCGTATAGTGTAAAGTGATAAAGTGGGTGGTAAGATTGTTTTTGGATCCAGCATCCTGAGGCGCCAAAGCAGAAGCTCTGAGGCTGACACATGCCACTGGAGCCGTCTTGGTGCAAAATCAACAGCGGCAGTTTGGATGTTGAAATTGCATCCACAAAAATGGGGTTTCACAAATCCAACTGGTGATCAGGAAGAAATCGTTTCTACCACATTGGTATCAAAACCAAACCACAGCACCCTTTCCGGGGGTCCTGTCATGCCCTTCAAGGCCAAAGTGCAAAAATTGCTAAACAAAGGGCCATGTTTAACATTGTTTAACCTCGTTTCGACAATGTTCAAGACACAATCATTTGCCCACTGAGGCGCGAACGCCTTTGGACTCCACCAGGCGAGAAAGGAGTCCGGCAGCGGTGCCCGGGTTGGTGTCCCCGCCTTAACGCCAAAGGACCGTGGAGAAAGGACCGTGAATCGCAACGGTGCTGGTGCTGGTGGAGCTGGCACTGCAGCTCGCTCCACATCGAGGTCTGTAGGGCACTGCACCTGCCACAAGATCTGCACATTGAAGTCCGCCCAGCACAAAATCCTTAGTGTGCTGCGCCTGCTCCGAAATCTGAACTTCATGCACTTTGACTTCCAAAAGGGCTGCACCTGCTAGGAACTGTGAAACTCGAACATTCCGAAACGAAGCTTTGGCGCGAGACTTGATTGGCAGTTTTCTCAAATGCACACCATTCACTGCACCTGAGACAGAACCTGAACCAACACATCACCACCACATCCAAAGCACTGCTTGCCTCCAAGTCTACTTGTCGAATTACAGCGCGTCCTTCAGACTTTCAAAACAGCAGGAATCTACAATAGTGCCATATTGTGCCTGCCACGAGAAGTGAACTCCAACAAGAGCACACACCCGCAAAACAGGTAAGAGCGGGAAAAGGACACACGGAATGCATCCCCGTTGAACTTCACGGGACGGTCATGAGATATCCTGATATCCTCATTTTGCAGTACAAACTGCAGCGTCCAAGATCATGTTCTTCAAATTGCTAAATGTTTAAGGGTACTTCTCTTCACAAATCAAATTTCAACAACCAGTTTTAGGCCACTGCAAAATTCTGGGGCACGCTTCCTAGATTCTATATTCTACGTAGAGGGAGATCTTGGTCGAGCCTGGCAGCGAAAATGCCTTCTTCACAAATGCAAACCCACGGTCCAGAACCCGTACCCCGTGTTACACAGTGCACAAGGCTGTCTGAGCGTGCGGCTGAAATAAACAAGCTCCTGCTGAACCTCCTAGCAAATCCATTTGTGTTTAAACCTCTGACTTTGCCTTCACCTTCAACTGTTGTCTCTTGGGAATGTTCATTTTGTTTTTGTTGTCGTTCCAGCCATGAGAAAGGGTTTGTAGTAAAAGGTTAGCTAAGAGTCTTTCCAAGCAAAGCAACATTCAAGTTTTTTCCAAGTAAACCTTGCTTGCAAGCAGCAAGAAATATGGAAAAACAAGATGGAACCCACGAGTCCGAATGCACACACGCACTTGAAAACAAATGCCCAAACATTGTTCGACACTCTTGTAGGAGACACTCTGGTAGAACGCTCTTGTGGGACACTCTCGTGCAACGCTCTTGTGGGGCACTTCTGCGGGACACTCTTGTAGAACACTCTTGTAAGATCCTGCAAGACACTCTTGTGGAAAATTGTTCTAGGCGCTCTCGTGCGATACGCTTTTGCAACACTCTTCCTCGAAGACCCACGCGTCTCTCCAAAACAAACGTTTCGCACGAGACTTCCTCCAAAAGTCACGCGTCAAGTCTGCAAAACAAGCCCTTCGTGCGAGACTTCCTCCAAAGTCACATGTCCAGTCTCCAAGACGAACATTTCGTACGAGACTCCAGAAACAAGACTTTCTGTAGCCCTGCCAAGCGGTTTCACAGTCCCAGCCCCTCAAAACCACAACTGCTGACACGCCAATCCTTATGTCATAGTGACATTCACCTCCACCAAACATCGCAACCTCACGGACCTCACGATTCGACGCCTCCAACAGGGAAAAGTGACGATATGACATGCTCAATCACACTCATGTCTTCAGCAAAGTTAAGTTTGCACCACACCACACGTTTGGAGTGATTTCAAGTTTCAACACGCTCCCATCCACCAAAGTGACGATTGTTGCTGAAACTTGTCACAAAAACACAGCTTCCAAGCAACAGCCCCAAATGCAAATCCCAATGTCACGGCCACATTCGACACCTCAAAAACACAACTCTCCCGACGCCAATCCCAATCTGACAGCCAAGAAAATTGAAATCCAGTCAAATCATCCTCCACTCCACCCTTCATCCTCTCACGTTTCCACACGTTTCCTTGCTATTTCACACGAATCTGACACGCCATGCTGCCATCCAAAACCCTCTTTTTGTTTGCTTCGCCCAATGTCAGCGCCATAACGCCCTATCGCGAACGGTCGGACGGTTGCGGTCGCTACGACAACGAGTCGCGAACAAGAGTCTACCCACAGACCCCCAGAGTCAAACGAGAACCCTTCGCTACGCATTCGGGAAAATCAAAATTGTCTTTCCGCAGTAGCAACATGTTTCCGCAGCACCCGTGCCTTGAACTGATCGGCTGCAGCCACGTGCATGCGCAACCTGCAATGTCACAAAATGAACTAAGCTGTTTTGCAAGCCCCCACTGTTCCTTGTCTCGTTGCACTTAAAGCTCTTCCATGTCACAGGGGGCTAGGCCGGAAGGCAAAACGTGAGAGGAGCTCAGTCACTTGAGAGCAACAGCAGGACTCTGGACCTGAGTTGGAGGCGCAGCAGGGGTACCACAGCACTTGCACCAGGCGCACAAAAGTGATCAAAAGTGAAAGGTCAGAAAAGCTTGAATCTCGAAGAGGTAGAGACCAGCAACAACCGATAAGGCAGGCGAAGAGAACCAGAAGTACCACGAAGGATAGGTCCAAGCAAGGTCGATGGTGCAGCAGGCCCAAGCCAAAGCTATTGAGACCACCAGCGCATGACTGCAAATGAACACACCTATACAGCCTATACACACACATAGATTGACTCTGCCAGAAAGGGAAACGTTGGGAATTACCAAGAGCCCTTGCAAAGCACTGCCAAATCAAAAGCCAAAGGGAACTCTACCATGTAATGACTGAAGTATGCGGACCCGAAGTGCTGCCAGCTTGGCGCGTTGGTCTCCGTCATGCGGCCACTCGGCGCCTCCCTTGGTTCGAGCTTGACCTTAGTTGCCAAGATCTAAATGGACCCATTATATATATATATAGCACCATATATTGTACTCTCCAGAACCACTTGACTGCGCCCATGTCCATCCACTTGATGCTGACCCCAAAAGCACTTTCAGGTAGGTCAAACCAGAAAGTTCGAGGTCCTGGCCATCTCAGGGCGAACGACTAGCACTTTGTCCTTGAAGTCCTGACACGAAAAGCACTATTTATTTTTTAGCCCCGGGGGGTAGGCCGCTAGTAGAAGAGGTAGCTAGTACCTGCAAGTAGCTACTACGCAGGATAGCTCGCTCTTCTTCGAGGAAGCTCCCCTAAAGGCGGCGGGGAAGCGCTCGCACTAATGATTTGGTTCCTAGATGTTTTAGAGATATTTGTTACTTGTGTAACTAACTTTGCTCTTTGTTGCACATCCGTGGGTCACAAACCAATTCGGGCCTGCTTGGCATATTCCTCTGCGATCATGATGGACTTTAAGGCCGTGTACCCTGCCTGTGGTCCAACCTTGCACCATCTTTTGCGGTTCTGAACCGAAAATGAAGAATCCTATGTCACCACACTCTGGGCCCCCGGACGGTGTCTATGGATACCCTGCTTTTCTCGCGGATTCGTGCCACGATGGCGCCAGCTAACTTGCCTGCCTCAGGAAAGATCAGAGGAACGCAAGAGTTCCAGAGTGTCTTGAGTGGATCTGCATTGTGATAGCATGACTTTGTGTGACTGGAGGCAGGATTGTAATTGGAGCAAATAAGTTCCACACATTTGTTTGGGCACCACACTGCAAGCCCTCCGTCTGACGGCTGTGTGGTCTGATGAGACCACACGCAATCACTACAAAGGATCTATCACTAAATCGCCCAGGAACCCATGCCAACATTTGGGATCCAGCACTTAGAAACAGCGGTGCAGGTAAAAAGTTGTTGATATATTATTGTAGTATATATTATATATATATATACACTTCTCACTGTGCGAGATAGTGCTGGAAGATTCCCTCAGAATTGTGAACGGGTACGGATTCGCTCGGATCTACTTGCTGTTAGGCTTGCAAGCTTGGAAGGCCACCAGTTGACTTCGCTTTTCAATGCTTTGTTCAATCCTTGGTTTGTAGGTCAACACAGAGCCATGCTCCTATGCTCAGAGTAGAATCATGCACAGGCTGATGTTGAAGGTACCAGGTTTTGGAATGAAGTTTGAAAGGGCTTTAGATCGGTTGTGGTTGTGGGCTCTCACGTCCTGGCCTGTGCTGCGGATGCCCAATGTCGAACTCCAACTGCAAGGTGAGGGACAAGTCTCCAATCGATTGGCACAAAAATGTACAAAATCCATCATCTTCGAATCCGTGAAGCCCTTTGATCCCAAGCACACTTTCACCTCGAAGATGAGTTCGCAGTATCGTCTCAAAGCCTGGACAAAGCAGGGCCAGAGCTACTCGGAGCTTGGGGAACACATTAGCTCATTAGCTAAACAACCCTTCGGAGGATGTACAGCATTCTCAACCCTCCTTAGCAGTACACTACCACCTTTGAATCTGATGATGTTCAGAACCCCAACATCTGCGGCAAACAATTGAACCTAATCTTCCCAATATTGGACATACTGGCAAGTTGTGAATCAGCCTGGCAGCCGCATTGCTTGCCAAATGCTTGGAGCTGGGCGGTTGGAACTTGTTGCAAAATCTACAGGCTGTCATACCATGCTATAACGCGTGTCTTTTTTGCATGTGTTCATCTTTCGGGGCATGCAACTGCCAAGCAGGCTCTCAAACGGCTGGAAGCTGCAGCTCAGCTCAGCTGGAAAGTGTTTTCCAAACTTCAACCAAGAAAGTACCACACCAGCCATGGAGAAAGCGAGCTGAAGAAGAGGAGCCTAACATAAAGGACATCTCCAACTGCTTCGTTGCACTTGGACAGGCGTCTTGCATAGTCTGCATCTTGCAGTCTTGCAGCTAAGCTTAGGTTCATCACACTACTGACTGCAAATGCCTCTTGGCTCTTTCTCTCTCGAACGCAAACGAGCGAACTACAAGCAGCTGCGGGGGCAGCAATGGCAGAAATTGTTACTCCTGGCAGGCGCAGGAGAACAATGCTGGAGACCTGTCCAAAAGCTTCCTGCAAAACTCAAAATGCCTTGGTTGACTTACGATCCTTTTGGCCCGAAGCAGGATTCTCAACAAACCCCTGACAGTCGATCCTCAGCTGCTTTGCAGCTTGAATCGCATATGGAGAATATATAGATTAAATGTAATTGTATAAGTTTGCCACGGCTGCAGCAGGTAAAAGATTTACTCGGATTGCAGGTTTTGCACCCAGCATCCCACCTCCTGCACTTGGGGCAAAATTCTCTTTGTGCCTTTTGCCGCTGCATTGCAGTCACAGCAGGAGGTCTCTACCTCTTTTTCATCACAGCTTCAGAACTCAGATCACGCCTGCATGGCCAAACTCTCTCAAACAAATCAAACCACAGTTGCATTGTGTGACGGGTCTCCGGCGATGCCATACAATGATCTGTAATATGAGCATGTGAGAGGAGACCTCATGAACGTGCTGTTGCTTCCCCGCTGTTTTTTGTTGCCCCTTCCTTGTGTCTTCAAGTTCTTCCTTCCCCTTTGTCCACATTGCATTTCCCTATGTACTTGTCCCTTGATCTTCCTGCTCTCCCTTCTTCTCTCTTGTTCTTCCCCCCATCTTCCCCTGCTCTTCGCCCTTTGCTTCCCTTTTCGTTGCTGCTTTCGTCCTTGCTCTTCCCCTCCTGCAGCTTGTTACTGTATTTCTACTGGCAAACCTTGAAAAGTTCCTTCCCTGTCTTCCTACACTCTTGCATGGCCACTCATGAGTGCCGAATACTTTTGTTGGTTGCACAAGCTAGTGAACGATATGTAGCTTGGGAGTCGCCCTTCTCGATTCAGGTCCACACAGGCACGCGAGATTGAGATGCTGTATGCTTTTGACTTCGATCCTGTTTGCCTTAGATCCTGTTTGCCAATACCACAGAGTATTGAGGCCCTGTTTAAGGTGGGACAACGATCCTATTCTGCAGAGAATGATTGCTTCTGCACTTTCAAGCATTCATCTTCGCCTAAAGATTGTATCCCAGGATTGCGGAGCGAGACAACACAGAGGGCTAGACAAAAAAAAAAAAAGGAGACTTGTCTCTTTCAATCAGGTGAGCTTTGAAAAGTATCTTCCACGACTTCGAACTTCGATCTCATTCCCAGGAATTCTTCTTTAAACGGATGAAAGATGATGAGAGTCCGGAGGCCGCCGTCACCAGCGCCTGCCTTCAAAGTCCACCTCCCAAATGCAGTTTTGGCCACAAAAGCCCCACCGCCAGCACCGTGATCCGCTGCGTCCTCGCGGACCTCGACTGCCTGAAATCCTGCAAATCAAGAGACATCTTCGATACAGTTGTAAATCTTACAGGATCCGGACTTGTGCTTTGGCAAACACTCGAAATGCCCACAAACCGCAACAATTATATACTGTGGGCACGTTGGCAATATATGTTGTAGGAAAAATATGACGCAACACTGTGACATTGTCAAAGTTCCTGAAATTGTCACTTGCAGTTGGTGCCTGCCTGCAGTAAAAAAGTGCACCAAGAAACACCAACGCTGACCACCCCAAGTGCTGCCTTCAGGCTCTAGCAAAGAACGCACCAACGGGACCGACATTGCAAAGGGCGGTCCACCCTCCTGACCAGTGCCATGCTCATCACACAAGAGAACTTGCTTCCACTGGACGCAAAGCCCAGTGAGAAGCTGAAGCGCAAGCTGCTATACAATTTATTTGAATCTTGCACAAAGGGTTCAATATGCTCTAGCTTAGACTTGTGGCAAGATTGGCCTGTTCTAAGAGTTTCATCAACAGTTTCGCCATGGTTCGGTCTCACTTCACCATCTCTGTGTCGGTTCTCTGAGTTCTCTCCTTGTCACAAATGGGGAAGATGCAGGTCAGCAAGGTGCCACCGGGTTTCAGCAAAGAATGTGTCTTCTGGGCCCAGGCCACCCGAACTGATGGGTCAAGGGCGCAAAGAAAGGTGCAATCCCAAATCACATCCGCCTTGATTTTTTTGACATCAAAAGCACGTGCTCAACTTTGCCAAAAAAACAATAATATTGCAGTTGCATGTTTGTAAACAAAAAATAGGCAAGCCTTGGGTTCAAGGTCAAGCTTGAAGAAGTCTGCACAAACTACCTGCAGAGCAGAAGTTACAGTTTTCTTTTGTGGCCAACATGTGATATAGCGCTCCACCTTTCACCTATGCACTATTGTTGGGGAAGGTAATCGGCCATTCCAGGCTCTCAAGAGGGGAGCGCACCAGGGAAAAGAGGATTGGGGCTGGGTTTTACAGCTACACAGGCTTTGAAATGTTCAGCAATTTGGGGATCAAAATCAAAAGCATGTTGGGAACTCCATGGTTAGGTTACCTAATGTTTTGCTGCTTCGGACCTTGTGATCCAGAGCCCCCCAAGCCCAGAAGGAAACTGTGATAAATCCGACACGGCACGGTGCTTAACAGAGGCTCAGAAAAAATGATTGATTGGGCAGCAATTCCGCAGGCCTTAACTCAAACATGTATACAAAAAACATAAATAAGCATACACCTGACAAGCAAGGGGCCGAAAGCCAGCCACCGTAAAAGATATCAATATGGTCATGGGGGGTGAATGCGAGATCCCTGGTGAGCTCCCCACCTCTTTTCCTATCACATCCTCCCCGCTATGCCTATCCTGCACATGAACTCCCACTCCATATGGGGTGCCCTTTTGCGTCTGGTCAACAGGCCTCCTCACCGTAAAAAAAGGGCACCCCCAAGCAACTCAAAGCTTGCCCGCTGCATTCTGTTCCCCCTGTTCTCACTGATTCAAACCGTTTCTTGCAATCCCTCTTTTCCTATCACGTCCTCCTCCGCATGCCTGTCTCATCCACATGAACTCCCACCCCATATGGGGTGGCCTTTTGAATCTGGCTACTAGGCCTCCTCACCATTAAAAAGAGCACCCCAAGCAATTCAAAGCTTGCCCGCTGCATTCTGTTCTCTTTCCTGCCCTCAACGGACCGCATCATTACATGAACTCGCACCCCAATATGGGGCCCCCTTTTGCGCATGCGTCTTCACCATCAAAAAGGGCACCCCCAAGCAACTCCAAGAATTCTTGCAAACCCTCTTTTCCTACCACCGCGTCTTCCTCCGCTATGCCTGTCTTCCACCTTCCCCGCAGCATTCTGTTCCCTCTCCTGCCCTCACAGATCACACAGTGTCTTAAGAGACACGCGCCTCCCTTTCACCCCTGGTCGAACGCTACTTCAATGGCCACCACACACGGTTGCCCTGAGCCCCTCATCATGCAACGATGTCAATTACATCACTTGCATCACAACATCCCAAAACCATACATTTTCACTCCCTAGCTTTTTCGCTCTCCCCCACCACGCTCTGGGCTCGAGCACCCATCCCAACTCCTAGCCTATCGGCTGGCTTTCGGCTTTCGTGATATATATATATACATATATATATACCTGAGAAGGGAGGGGACGAAAGCCAGCCTTTGCGCCAAGGGGGATGCCCTTAGGGTGAGGCTCGCGTTTTGGGCACGGCCGCTTCTTTTCGTTTTAGGTGAGGGGTGTGTTAGAGGGTAGAGTGGAGAAAGAGTAGGTGGAAGTGGTGAAGTTGACATCGCAGCCACTCTCATAGGATGTAGAAATGGAAAGTATAGTACATAGCTTCGGGGGGGAACCTTTTTCGTCGTGGTTCGGGCTCGTTTTGGATTGAAAAAGGATGAAGAAGGCCACCCGGGAAGGAAGTGAGGGGTGGTAGATTGCCGCGCGGCGCCAATCAGTGAGCAAAGATGGTTATGGGGGGTCGAGGGGCAAGGTTATCGGCAGGCTTTCGGCATGTATGTGTATAGGGTGGTAGCTTGCTGCGCGGCGCTATGGGGGGTTGAGGGCCGAGGTTATCGGCAGGCTTTCGGGAGGAGACATATACGCATATAGGTAGAGGGCTGGAAGTGGTGAAGCTGAAAATATTGCAGCTACTGGAGCGCGCGAGATGAAGGGATTGGCTGACATTGGGCAAAGCATACGTTTAGGTGGCGAAGTTGACATCGTAGCGACCTTATAGAAGTAGAAACAGAAAATATAGTACACAGGTTCGGGGGAGGGGCGCCCTTGTTCGTCGTGGTCAGGCTTGTTTTGGAGGTGAAAAAGGGTACCCTCGAAGGAAGTGAGGGGCGGTAGCTTGCTGCGCGGCGCCAATCAGTGTTATGGGGAGTTGAGGGGCGAGGTTATCGGCAGGGCTTTGGGAGGGGACATACGCATGTAGGTAGAGGGCTGGAAGTGGTGAAGTTGATATTGCAGCCCCTCGAGCGTGCAAGATGAAGATTGGCGAACATCGGGCCAAGCGCACCTTTATGTAGTGAAGTGGATATTGCAGACATTTGTACAGGAGTAGAAAGAGAAACTAGAATACAAAGTTGGGGGGTGCCCTTTTTTGTGTTGGTGGAGGGAGGTTTTGGAGGTGAAAAAGGGCACCCTGAAGGAAGTGTGTTTAATCAAATGAAGGAAAGTCTTGGATACTAGACCTTGGGGTGCCCTTTTGAGTCCGGCAACTAGGCCTCTTCACCGTTAAAAAAGGCACCCCAAGCAATTCAAAGCTTGCCCGCTGTATTTTGTTCTCTTTCCTGCCCTCAACGGACCACAGCATTACACGAACTCGCACCCCATATGGGGTGCCCTTTTGCGTATAGTTAACAGGCGTCTTCACCGTTAACAATTGGCACCCCCAAACAACTCTAACATTTCTTGCAGGCCCTCTTTTCCTACCACGTCCTCTGCCTGTCTTCGACCTTCCCCACAGCATTCTGGTTCCTCACAGATAATGAATGTCTTAACAAGCTCCCTTTCACCCCTGGTCGAACACTATTTCACTGGCCATGAAAGGCGCTCATCTGCCTTATCTGGAAACTTTTCGCATCCCGTTGTCCCCTCTCTCCTATCATTGACATGAACTCCCACCCCTGGTAGAAAACGGTTTACATTGCCTCCTGAGCCCCTCGTGATGCTGATGATGCACTCTTCGCCGTCAATTACATCACCGGCATCACAACACCCCTCAAACCACTCATTGTTCACTACCAAGTGGCCCACCTCTGTTTTTCGCTCTCCCCCACCAGGCTCTGGGTTCAACTCTCCGGAATTGGCCCTCTCGCGACCACCCCCCTCACCCCCTTTACTCACTCCCCTGCCTGCCGGCTGGCTTTCGTATATAAATATATATATATATATACTCCTGTGAAGATGTTCGCTGAACATCAGGTTTCGACATGTCATGTCGTGTTTTTCACTTCTGTCCGGAGCTTAGACCGACCGTCCGCAGAGGGCGGGCTCAAGAGCTTGAAAACAAGCGCTACGCGTTGGCATTCATTTGCCGCCCCCACGGTCCGAACTTCGTTCGTTCCTACTTCACGTTTGCAGTGGACTTCGTGAGCCGCTTCACCAATTCGACATTGGTAGCGGAGCCCGGTCGCCCCGGGCTCCCTACCTGCGCACTTCGCGACAACGAGCTCTTCGTCCCGGCTGAGACCCGCGGCACGATTGGCAGTAGCAGTTCTCGCTCTGGCTTGGTGGATTCCTCCTCTACCTGTTCGCCACATCCAAGCAGAGCCCTTTGTCCCTGTGAACAGCTACATGCCACCTCCTGGTCAAAAGAAAGAAAAGCCGCAGGCGTCGGGATCGATCTCACAAGATGGCACTTCCTATATGGACCTGAGGGACAGCTATGCGCCAGTCTTCACCGGCCAAAAGAGGACGCCTTCAAGAAGGTCATTGAGACCCTCGATGCCAACTTCGCCTACGACGCCAAGGTACAGCTTCCCACGGACTTTGAAGCATACTTCAACCTGCTGCAGCGCTCTCCTGGCCAGACGTTGTTGCTGTACGTGGCCGACCATGAAGAAGCATACAGAAAGCTGCAGCAGCACCGCGTCGAGCTTCCAGCTTCGGTTCAAGGCTGGCGTCTTCTTCGCCGCTCCGGCCTCCCAAGAGAGCAAAGAGAAAGCACCAAACCTGGAGAAGAATGCGGTGATTGAGGCTCTCTACCTGATCCAATTGGCCAGGACTACAAGGGAGGAGGCTGGAATGCTGAGCGGAATCACCGCTTTGGTGGTGGACACTTGTGGAAGCAGAGAGCCTACATGGCCGATGACTATGAGGACGAGGCGTATCCAGATGATGATGGTTGGGAAGCTGGATACTACGAGGAGGATGAACAATGGGCTGAAGAAGGTCATGACTATGAGGTCTATGATGAAGGCCAAGACTTCGACCACGATGCTGGTTACTATGGAGAAGAAGAACCCTGGCCAGACAACGATGGGGTCAACAGCCCTTCACAGATGGCTGCTGCGTATGATGCTGCCTTCGCTTCCTACACGGACGCCCGTCGTCGCTTCCAAGAACTCAAACAGCTCGAGGCTACCTTCCCATCGTCGCCTTGACTGACGGCGGAAATGTCTCGCCTTCGAAGGGAGGATCTTCATCCAATGCTACCTCACCGGCATCAGCTACCTCCTGGCGGACAAAAGGAAAAGGGAAGGGTGGGTCCAAAAGTGGCAAGTCAAAGACCACGATCCGCTATCCACCTCACGGAGCTGGCAAAGCAGATCCAAAAGGGCGTGCAAGAGCAAACATGACTTGCCTCCGATGTGGCCAAGCCGGCCACTGGGCAGCCAATTGCCCACAGAGTTCATCGAGCCCAACTACACGCACACCTGCTGCCAAGCGCCCGGCATCCTCAACGACCGAGGCAATGGCACTCGAGCGCAAGGCCGATGAAAGCGCTCTCCTGATCTTCCAGGACTCCAATGGTGCGGAAAGGCCAGAATGTGTGATGCTTGACCCTGGAGCAAGCGCCTTCCTGTCTGGTTATGGGCCTTTCCGAAGATACCTTGATCATTTGAGCACCCTGGACTTCCCCATTGAGGTCATCAAGATGAGCAAAGGCCGACGCCGCTTCCAGTTTGGAGGTGATGCATCGATGTGGTCAGCTTGGTCCGCTCACATTCCCACCTTTGTGGATCACAAGTACCACACCATCGAACTGTTCTTGCTGCCTGGCAACACGCCAATGCTCTGTGGCCGACCGATCATCGAGGCACCATGGACTTCGCCCAGAGGCGACTACGGATCGGCAGCTCACCATGGATGCCGGCCACATTGGGAAGACAAGGTGAATATCTCTGGTCGCTCACCAATGAACACCTCAGCATCAACTACGACGTTGAGCGACCCGAGTTTGTCCTGAGGACCAATGACCAAGGAATCGAGCAAGATGACGACTACATTCTCAACGACTTCACGCTTGCCGAAAGTGGCTTCACAGCATTCGAGAAGGCTGCAATCACCGATGAGGAGAAGACAAAGCCTCTCCGTCGCCATGAGCTGAAAACCATGGATGTCCACCTCACCACACAGCTCAATGACCTGTCTGCCTATGTCACCAAGGAGCTGCATCAGCCTGAACGACCTCGACTGCTTTGGGAGGTCTACTGTGGCAAAGCGCGAACAGCGCAAGTGGCTGAATCCCTGGGTATGGAAGTCCGCTGCTTCTCCTATGACACTGGCTGGGACTTCGAACAGCTCAAGCATCAAGATGAGTTCCTGGCCCTCCTTGAAGAAGAAGCGCCTGATGAACTGCTCATTGCACCCGAATGCAAATTATGGAGTCGCACGCAGTCACTTGGCCGCCGGACACCCGCTCAGAAAGAAGCTTTGAAGGCCGCTCGACATCGTCACCACGACCGGCACCTCATGTTCACCCGACGGAGTTATCTATGTCAACTGAGGGGCGGTCGACATGCCACCATTGAGCAGCCGAAGCATGCGCTTTCCTGGCAGACTCGAGCTCTACGTGATCTTCCCGGCAGACGAGCCGACTTCTCTCAGTGCCGCTATGGAGCACAATGCCTGGATGATGATGGCATTTGGAAACCAGTTCAAAGGAACACCACCTTCCTCACGACCAAACAGGCCGTCCAAGATGCCTTCACCCTCCATGAACACTGTCCCTTAGGAGGGAGCTGTGGATCTCGAACACGGTACGTCCCTGTGAAAGAGCCCATTCCTGAGAATGTCAAACTGGCTGACTACCCAGAGAATTTTGAGTATGAGGAACAGCCAAAGCTCGAAGAAGCCCCTGCCACCGCCTACGTTGCACAGAATGCGAAGGCCCTCTCGTATGTCTTCGCCATGAGCCATGGCGGCAGCTGTTCAAAGAATGACCTGATGTTTTCTTTGCTGGCTGTGGCACAAGGCCAGCAGTGTGAGAAGGGAGAAGAGAAAGAAGAAGGCTATGAGCACCTATGGCTGTGGCTTGCCATTTTGGCCCTTCCACAGGCCGGCCGATGGAGCTCCAACAAAGAGCTTGCACTGAAGCCCAAGACCAAAGAGGTCGAGATCCAAAAGGATGAACCCGTCGTCCACTCGAGACTGCGGGACTTGCTCAACCAGGAAAAGATTCGTGCTGAGGAGGCAATGCGCTCAGCACGTGAGTCAAGAGCCGCCCTAAACCTCCAAAGTGATGAAGTGGTGAACCTTCGAGCGTTGACCACCGATGGCCACCGCCTGATCCGGAACTCCATCATGGAGATGGACTTGCACTCCTCTCTCATCACCTCCAACCTGATGACCCGAAGGGCATGTGCTTACTGCGCCTCCTTGCGGCCACCTCCAGATCGGGTGGAAGACAACAGCGGCACAACGCTGAGGCGAGAGCTGGAAGCTTGGTTAGCTGATGCTGACCCGTGGCGACCTTCATAGGTTTTTTGGGCCGAAAACTGCCCCTGTGTGAAGATGTTCGCTGAACATCAGGTTTCGACATGTCATGTCGTGTTTTTCACTTCTGTCCGGAGCTTAGACCGACCGTCTGCAGAGGGTGGGCTCAAGAGCTTGAAAACAAGCGCTACGTGTTGGCATTCATTTGCCGCCCCCACGGTCCGAACTTCGTTCGTTCCTACTTCACGTTTGCAGTGGACTTCGTGAGCCGCTTCACCAATTCGACAACTCAAAAATATCATGAGGGAGTATACAGCTATCGCCGAGGATGCTGTTTACGAGGAGTTTCCAACCATGCAAAGGTGACAAGATTTCAAATTCTGTTCCAAAGACTTACCAGCAGTTGGATGAATATCTTAGGTCCTGCCACAAACACGTCCAAACGCACAAGCAGACACAATGCTGAATGGAGCAGCTCCCGGTCTTGAAAGATTCAGGAGATCATTGGGCAGGTTACCGCTGATTTGCGGAGATAGAAGCAACTCCAGACTTTCGCTCCTCATCCTGTCAAGAGTGCGCAGGACCACCAATACCCTGACATGCCGCCGCCATTCATGAAGAAAGAGCCTTCAATGACAGTATCTCCATGGATGGAATTGCTTGGGCCAATCATCAAGGCAAACAATTCCATTTCTTATATATATATATATCATTTTGTAGATCATAGCACTACACTGAACAGCTGTGTTCGCCACAGAGGACGACGGCAAGCGCAATCAAAGCTTTGACCTAAGCTGGATCATGATCTGTTTGCGCCGGAGAGTTTGCAATTACCTGAAATGTCGGGTTTGCAAAGACACAATGTCATGACCTTCGCAACTCCAAAAAGCTCTAGCCAGCGCAGCCAAAACGAAACCAGCGGGATCCGGGATTACGGATTACCACCAGAAGAATTGGCTTTTGGAAAGCTCGAAGATACCCAGGGTTCAACACCAGTGACATCACATCTGTCGGCACTAGATTCGCACAGCTGAAGGACTGCGCTTCCAAGAAGAGCTTGCATTGAGGGAAGGGGCAGAAAAGCATTCAGCATGGTCGACAACGTTGCCAGTCCTACGTCGCCCAGCGAAGCCGCCGATTCGAAGCCAGTCAGTACTATACAGGTGAGTGGGTCATGATATGGAGATGGAGCCTTTTCGAATAACCATACAAGAACCAGCATAGAACCGCTCAGAGCTGTCCCAGAACAAGTTCGTCCCATCTCTGCAATGGAAGAGGTCAAAAACAAAAACATTACCGATCTTGACCCACGCCTTGGAACTTCCAAGATCTAGATTTGGAAAACAAAATGCCCGGGAGTGACAGCGATGGCGAAGAGCTCTTTTCCGAGGTGCTTGGTCTTCAAGATGGCCAATGTATGCCAATGTTACGAGTTGGAAACAAAACCCATAGATACCAAAAATGCACCAACGCAAATTCGAGAGACAGAGAAGAAGCTATCACCTGCTTCTGTTCAAAGGAGCATGCTCCTGTCCCTGACTGAAGCGCTGGCCACATGCTCGACCCACCTTTTTAACTTCATCAGCGAAACGCATCCTCTTACGCTCTTCTCAGTGGAAAAAGTCCATTAAAAGTCCATCTTGCACAAACATGATTTCTGGAAAAGTCCATCTTACAGGAAGTCGTACAGGCATTTCAACTGAGGATCACCAAATCAGTCGCAAGGATACGCCACGCACACGTAGTGAAAATGATGCTTTTGGACTCTTCGCATCCATGAATCAGAGGAAACCAGATGGCCGCATCGATGCTGGGCATATGGCAGGGCAGATGCCCCGCTCCTGTGGTCGGAGCTTCGTCGCGCACTGTTGGAATTGCATGTCGAGCAAAGCCCGATGGACCCGTTCTCAATATCAAGGACGGCAGCCAACCATGGCATGATAGGCATGCGTTTGGAACGTTGCTCCAGGCAAGACTGATCAAGCGATGGGTTTCTTCTGGAGCACAAGTGGCAGACGCACTTGATGTAATGGACATCACAGTGTTGAGGGAAATCATTTGCCTTGGAGAATACCAACTAAATGATGAGGTGGAGCTCCTGAGACGTCGTGCAGACACTCGCACAAGAGAAAAGCCAAGCCGTCACAGCCTCAAAGGAAGAGTGCTTGAAGTCCAAAGTCCTCTCTAGTCCAACTACAACATGTTGGACCAATTGTTCTTTCAGTTTTTGGTGTTTCGAAATCACGTGGTCACCTGTTGCCTTCGATTCTGCAATCATTCGCTGTGTCGGAATGCAATTGGCCCGATGCCAAACCAGGGAGGCATGAAAACTCACTTGGGTGATCAGTGACGAGCGCTCTGCGGGTGGACCAGCATGGGCGCTGCACTTTGTTTGGAGAAACTATTAAAAAGGCGCGGCACCTTGGAAACCATCCGACGTGGCGGTTAACTACTTTTGAAACATAATACATTGTATATAATTAACATATACAGTGTGTATATATATATACTATACATACAGTATATATACATGTTACACAAATATATACATCTCATATATATATATATATATCTGTCCTGCACACATGCACCGGCCTCAATCTTGGAGGCGGCCGGACTCTTGCATTCGCTGAGGAACTGCTTGGCGGCATCAGCCGCAGATTCTGACAAATCCACAGCAACCACACCTTCCAGTTCGCAACACGGCGAAGAGGAACTGTCGTCAGTCGTCATTGGTCTCTATTTTCCAGATTGCCAGATTCCATTAACTTGCTGCCACATACTATGATGTTCCAGAGTCTCAGAGTTGTGGTACAGATTCTATTTTTGCTTTGACTGGGACCCCTTTCGACCCAAGTGGCTACTGAAGCCATACTCGGCCAGCGCTACCGCGTCGTAAGCCCGTCCGCAGCCAGGCACTAGAACACGCTGGCCGCTGCAGTCGCCTAACGACCTCGACTCTCAAGATTGGAGGATACGCAAGAATACTCAAAGTCTCTTTTGACTTCTTTCAAAATCAAACTGAAACTCCAAGCATGAATGGAAAGGTTGCCATACAGGCCCAGCAAAATATCAAGAAGCTCCGCGAACCAATGCACATACCGGTTTGGATATCCAACTCAAGCACAATCGTGGTTAGGCAGCTTTAGCTTCAGCACTTCCATCAGGGTTGGCGAAGCTTCACCAACGTCCCACTTTTCTTTGGACTTCACGCCCTGGGCCAAGCAAGTCAAAACCGCAAAATCTCTCGGTGACTTTTCTGAAAACCATGACAAAAAGTCTCTGGAAATGTCCTTGGACCACATGTCTTCCCATGTGGGGCTGGCTCCAGCCGCAGTGTCCATGTTGCGTGACCACTTGGCGAACGAAATGACTGGACGAGCCAGGTGGGCGGCTGGCAAGCAAACCAAGAAGCCCATGCAGCGACGTGGTATACGCCCCAAGGCCCTCATCGTAAGGTCCGTGTTGACGGAGATCATAAGGGTTGTCAGTGCAGAAGGTATTAAGGTAGTGCCCAGAATATTGATATATAGGTCTTCTGCTAGAACTGTAGATTCCAATTCTTGAACACATGGTCAAGATCTGCTTCAAATCGAGAACTCTAGCAACGTTGATCCATGACGCAAGCAAGACTCACGAGCGCTTCAGGCCCTGCATCCGATTGCAAACCCGTAGAAGTTGGCTATCAGCTCACTCAGCTCTCACAAAACAGGCTGGTCACACGGCAAAGTGGAAGGACCAAGTTGAGCCTCAAAAGGATTTTGGACCCTTTAACATTACGAAAGCTACTTACACTGTCACCTTGCCAAACGGAGAAATGATCACAAAATGTCTCTCAGTTCCGATGTCCAAACACCGACTGTGACAGCTTAGGGCACCGGACGGAACAACTCAGAGAGCTCCCTCAATCACCTGGATCCTCTGGGTGACCGATGTCACCTGCACTGAGATGTTAATCCCGAACCTTGTAAACGATGGTCACATAGTATCTTTACAAAACATGTTTACAGTTTACAGCATGAGGGTTGCCACCACTGTGACGTTCTGAAAAGTTCGATGTTCAACCATCCGAATCTCACAGCTCAAAGTGGTCTGAGGCTCAGATCACACCTGTCCAGAGATGGCATCCAGGGCACTTGCATGGGCATCCAAGACCTGCCGCACTACAGAGTTCGCAGCTTGCAATACAATAAATAGTTTGTATTATTTTCTTCGTTTCTTCATGTTCCATCAATGTCTGTCGTCAGACCTAAAACAATAGACTCTAATCCTTTTCATCTCCCACATCATTTTCAGAGCTAAGTTTCCTGCCCGCACAACTGTGGTCAAAGGCTCCTGACTCCGAATTCCGCTGACTATTTGTCCCCTAATTCAGTGAAAGGTCAGCACAACCAATTTTGCAAAGAACAAGATTCAGCTAAATCCCGAGAGCAGTAAGCGGTTTTATTGGACTACAGTTTTGCAACAAGAATTCCTTTGAACTGTATTTCTGAAACTGCAGAAGGTCCATCCTTGTACAGATTGGATTGTATCTTCCCAGTCCTCAGTCTGCAAGCTGCTAAAACGAGAAATAACTTTATGCTTGTGCCGTGATAAATCCCAATAAAACGCAGTTTCACTGGATTGTTTGTATTGGTTGTTTACACAACTCGGCGTTGATGGTCAAAGCAAGGCCGCAAATTGGCTGTTCTTACTTCATGCTTTTGCTGTTCCGTTTACCGTCTAGCATTTTTGCGTCCGTCCGTGGACATGATGCTTCAGTCGGAGCATGCGTGGGGCAGGAGGGTCCAACACACTAGCGTGCAGTGTGGATGCGTCCACAAACATGATGCTTCGGTCGGAAGGACCTTTTTGGGGTTGTGCACTGGATTTCTTCTGTCGAATGAGCAACAGAGATGTTTTTCGGGAGTCGGAATATTTGATTGAATTTCCGCAACTGATGAGTGATGACATGTCTCAGCCCAAATGTGCGACCTGAAGTCTGTCTTTGGTTCTCTTTTTGGTCAACATGTGGCTGCGATAACTTGTCACCTGTCTGGAAAGGGTTATACAACTTAATTATATATGTTGTTGCTGGCGAACGTAGGACAAGACCTATATATGTACTTTCACGCCTAAGAAGCTCGCTTCTAGACAGTTGAAAAAGGCTCCGAAACCAGCATCTCATGGCCGGACGGAATGTTTTTGTTGCGCATGTTCGCATTGTTGCATCCCGTTGGATTTCTGTCACTCAGTTCGGTCTGGCCACATGATTCGCTTTCACAAGATTGTCATCAAATTCGTAAGTTTGTCGTCGATCTCACTTTATTTGTCATCCGTTGCTTCACCACACTGCCGTCGCCTCAATGTTGTCACACCGCTACTGAATCTCAGATTGCCAAATTGAAAAATGTCGCGTGCAGAACCAACAGGTTGGGTAAAGTGAGCCAAGTAAAGTCATGTGACCCAATACTCTTCCAAAAGATTGGACAACCAGGCTTGGAAGAGCTATTCAGCTATTCAAGTCCTTTGAAACGTACAGAGAAGATCGAAAAGTTGAGCACTAGAATGTAACTAGAAAAATATTCAAATTGAATTTTGAAGCTACAGTCTTGAAGGGCCCCTGCTCTCGCGCAAGATCTTCAGCCTGACAAAGCGAAACTCGAAGGATCCAGATTGCAATGAAGACAAGCACATCGACAGCGATTAAAATTTGGAATTCTCAAGCATGGAACAGGTAGCCTAACTCAGTTCCCTCCGCCAGTCCTGCCGCTCCAATTCATCAAGCTGAAGGGTCAGGGCAAGTGCACGTTGATGGCTCCGAATCTGAAGGTTGCGCAACACGTCCAGTCAAAAAGGGAGATAATCTGGGAAAATATGTCTCCAAAAATTGCGGCACACAAATCCCCAATGAAATTGTGATGGTGTCCTCAAAATTGATAAAATGTACGGGATCACTTTCCAGACCTATGTGTTGATCTTTGAATGGAGAGTTACAAAGACCAAAGCAATCCAATGGTTGATCGAAGCTATCATCTCGAAAAGTTGCCCGACTTGTACAAGCACTGCTTCCTACCTTGCTTGGGATGCAAATACCGGACCTTACAATTCTTCACCTACAGCTCAAGATCTGATTTGCCTCCTCGGGTTTTTCGTTTGTGTTGATCTTTGGATAATAAGCTCGTTCGTTTCCAAGGCCCCACCGGCGCAGCCCCGCTGCCAGCTGCCTTTCAAAGGCAATTGCTATTAAGCGCTAAGCCGCTAAGGTGAAACAAGCATGTTTGTCTTGCAGTTTACTCGCTCCAAAGCCTTCTATAATCATGAGATGTTTAAGTTGTTTGCAGTGAAAGCTGAGGCCGTTTCTGGTTTTGGATGCTGTTTGTCTCAGTTCAAAAAGTGTTTTCCACTCTGTCAAAGCCATGCAACTAAAATATAAGCCAAGGTAAATAGAGCCTCATCCGCCTGCTGCGGTTGGGGGCGAAGCGCCTGCAAGAGTCGCACTTGTGTCGAGGTTTGGAAAGCACAAATAATTGGATAAACAAGGCCCACAAATCGAAACTGCCAGTCGAAACAATAAACAATAAACCAATCAGTTCAAGTGCTTGAATGAAGGATAGGAAAGAAGAGGGCTGCTGCGGTAAAACTTGCAGAGGTCCTTCTACACTATACTTTTCAGGGTGTCAGAAGAGAGTGTAAAATCGAAGGGCCAAGAACGGCAAAGCAGGGCCACAGGATGACGGCTCATTCGGACACACAAACCTCTTCCGTGCACACATCGATCTAGAATGCCTCATCTGCGCACACATGGTCTGTCAGGCATGGGCGGTGGGGGGATGGTGGGGGCGGTACAATTTCATGATGTCCATACTGCAGGCGGCACGCAATGTTCAATGTTTGGGCTGGGGCAAATTCAGGCATTTGCAGCATGGCACACACTCGAGATATTGCGTACGGACACGATGGGCGGTTTGCCACACTCCGGTCTAAGTAAAAACCTAAGGCACCAGTGTAAACAAAGTTGGTTGGAGGCCATTGCATCTAGGTTAGAGGTCATCGCAAGCAGGCTATGTGGCCATCACAAGTAGGTTGGCAGTCATTGCTAGTAAGGTTGGTTACATGCAACTGCAAAACATTCAAGGTTGGTGGGTGTCACTAATGGGTGGAGGCCATCACCACAAGGTTGGAGGCCCACGCTACAGGCTTGGAGGCCTACAAGAAACAAGACTGCAAACATGAATTAAACGAAAAACTAAAACCAAAACACAATTCGAGATGCATGCTGAAAAACTGTCTATGCCCATACCCCCACTCTGCAGACTGAATAGGAACGCATCCAGTCAAACAGAGCGGACGCGCCGGCCCTAAGGGCAACCGGTATGGAAACTGCTAGAGAAGGAACACGCAACTAGCAAGAACAGCCAGTACATCTAGGTTGGAGGCCATCACAAGGTGAGAGGCCATCGCGAGCAGGCTGGGTGGCCATCGCTAGTAGGTTGGCTGCAGCAACGCAAAACATTCAAGGCTGGAGGTCATCGCTAGTAGGTAAACAAAGTTGGAGGCCCGCGCTACAGGTTGGGAGGCCCACAAAACACAAAGCTGCAAACACAAATGAAACAAGACACAAAGCTGCAATTCCTGCGACTCCAAGGGTTGCCCTGTAACTCCAAGGTTTTCACACACTCGAGGGATCAAAATCAAAGGACTCCCTGTGACTCAAAAGGTTCCACACACTCAAGAAATTGCGTACTGACACGATTGCGTTTTGCCACACGCCAGCCTAAGTAATGACACCACCATAGACCCCAAACAGTTTGTGTTTTTCAATATCGGAACACTCTGCAATTAGAGCTTGCGACCTGGGAGACAAATGTAGACACAGGGAGACAAATGTAAAGGATTGCAAGCGACATGCAGCCCAGAGCTGGGTGACAAATAAAGGATTGCAAGGCAGAGGTAGATACAGCAGTCTAGAGCTGGGAGACAAGTGCAAAGGCTTGCGAGGACACATGTAAAGGATTGCAAGGCAGAGGCGGACACAGCAGTCAGAGCTGGGAGACACATGTAAAAAGGATTGCAGTCCAGAGCTGGGAGACAAATGTAGACACAGGGAGACAAATGACAATGTAAAGGATTGCAAGCGACTCGCAGCCCAGAGCTGGGGCAGAGCAGCTGGGAGACAAATGTG